GGGGGGGGGGGGGGAGGGACAAAAGGTTTCTTAGGTACTGCAAAATCTCATGAGATTGAAGTTTCCGGGTAATGCCAGGGTGGATTCACAAGAGAGCCAGGAATGTTGAGGTTCTTTTAGGGGTTCTATAAATTCAGAGGGATTGAGAGGAGATTTTCAACGAAATCGAGGGAAATTACTTGTTTATAGGGGTGCCAGGCATCCAAACAATATAAAAATACAAAAATTTACTCAAATAAATCAATTCCCTCGGATGGAATTCAACGGCCTGTTGTGCCCCAATTGCAAAAATCCCGGAGTCATTGATTTTCGGCTCCTTTGATGGAGAAAATTTCTTTGAATAGTTGAGAGGTGCGAAAAATCACAATTTTCTCACCTGACAAAAAAAACCGAATATTTTTAATGACTAAAAAAAAGAAAGAATTGAGAAAACGTGCAAATTCTTCTCACTCGTTATCATCCGTCCGCTTTTTTTTTCTCTATTCTCCTTCCACTGTGAAGTAGACCGACACGAGTCCTCAGAGACTTTCCTTCACTGGAACAAAGGAAGCACACCATCCTCGTACCCGGAAACTACCTAGAACGGAAGTGGAAGGTAGAAAATGAGTGAACGAGGCGAACGAGGGCAGCATTTCGAACTCTCCTCGCACACTCGCACCATCTCTCTCATCTCTTTTTTAGTCTATCTTTTCTCTTATTTCTGTTACCGTCTTATTTTCAGTCTTTAACGCGTACGGGTGGGTGGGCGGGGAGTAAAAGGGGGGGAGGGGGTTAGGGGGATAGGGCGCATATATACCATCGCTATCTATCTTGATGTCTTCCTCTGCAGTCCTCGTACAAGTTGAGTTTCTAATTAAACTTAAACTTTTAATTGACTCGTTGTAAACCAGTTAGTTACCCATGATTTTTTTTGTTTATTTTTGAGTTAACGGGGGAATACTGATGGAAAAAAAAGAAATATAAACGACTTTCGAAGTCGAAAGTCTGATTCAGGTAATTTTGGGGGATTCAAGAGTTTTTGATGTTTAATTTAACGAGTTTTTTTCGTTAACGGCTATTTTGAGACGTGACGTCGTGACTCACTATCTCCCACAAATTACAGAATAATATTTACTCAATTGTGTTTCTCTTTACTTCTGCACTTTCAATTGATTCGTTATAAATCAATCAATTTTTCATGATTTTTTGTTTATTTTTGAGTTGACGGGGAATAATGATGTGAAAAAAGAAATATAAACGACTTTCGATTCCAACTAAAGTCTGATTCACGAGTTTTTAATTTTGAAATTAACATTATCGCCCACAAATGAATGAATAATATTCACTTAATTGTGTTTCACTTTTATATTTCTTCTATTTAAATTTAAACTTTTGATTGATTCGTTATAAACCGATTAGTTACCCACGATTTTTCAATTTATTTTTGAGTTGACGCGAAATACTGATGGAAAAAAAGAAATATAAACGACTTTAGAAATCGAAAGTCTGATTCATGTAATTATGGGGGATTCAAGAGTTTTTGGTGTTTAATTTAACGAGTTTTTTTCGTTAACGGCTATTTTGAGACACTGTTAGAAATTTTTTGAAATTTCATGGAAGATATTACAGTACATCTCATGAGAGTGACATTGAATCGGATTTAGAGAAAAAATGGTTATGACTTTTCAGTGGAACATGAATATTCAGAAATAAAATGACATGAATTTTCCTGACTTTTCTGAATTGTCACAGAATAATTGAATAGAAAAATCAAGTATTTTATTGATTTCCAGATCATTTGAACAGAAAATCAATGGAATATTTGATTTTTACAAGAAAAGATTTTCTGAAATTTGAGTGGAACGTGAACACGAAAATTTCCGGAATTTGGCACGAAAAATTCAGACGACAATCTTGATTCGTGTAAACGAATCAGTTTTCCATGATTTTTTGTTTACTTTTGAGTTGACGCAAAATACTGATGAAAAAAAAAATAGATAAACGACTTTCGATTCCAACTAAAGTCTGATTCACGAGTTTTTAATATTGAATTTAACATTATTTCCCACAAATTACAAAATAATATTCACTTAATTGTGTTTCACCGTTCTATTAATTCTATTTAAACTTAAACTTTTGATTGATTCGTTATACACCGGTTAGTTACCCATGATTTTTCAATCTATATTTGAGTTAATGAAAAAAAAATGCTAATGAAAAAAAAACGAAATGTAAACAACTTTCGAAGTCTAAAGTCTGATTCAGGTAATTTTGTGGGATTCAAGCATTTCTGATATTTAATTCAACGAGTATTTCGTTAAAGTCTCTTTTGAGACATGACGTCATGTCCCATTATCTCCCACAAATGCCAGAATAATATGTATTTAATTGTATTTCACCTTTCTAATCAGTCAGTTGAATGGAAGAATAAAGCAATGAAATACCAGGTGAAGAAAATAATTCCCGTTTCACCAATTTCCTCAAAACTCCTTGAAACATTTTTTCCTCCGCAAAAGACAAACATCTTGCTGACGCAATCCTGCCTTATCGTATCCATCAACTAATCGAATTCTCATTTTTTGTTTCTCAGCCAATCGAACAGAGAAGGATTTTCCCGATTGTTGGAGAAGATAAACGTCAAAAACCTTCAGTACAACGAAATAAAAGAAAGAAAAATAATCACCTCGAGTTGCTGAGAAAGAGAGAATAAATGAATAAAACTTGAAACTTGGGACAAGAGTGTGCACATCCTGTTTGAAAAGCCGAGTTAATTAAACTTCGAATGCAAGAAAATACCAAAATACAGAAATATAGTTGAGAGAACTAACGAACTAGTGCTGTTACGACTGGTGCATGAACAGTGAGTGTGACTCAATTTCCCCAGTGCTCAGTGCTGTTTGTTTTGGGTGAGTGGTCTAGTGTCCAGTGATCAGTTGGAGACACAATAAGTCACTGACAGAGTATTCTCACACTGAATAGAACAGAGTGAGAGTGGAAAAAAAAAATATATTCATACCCCCATGAAAATGCTACAGTCGCTGAACGCTCTGGCGGGCAAAATATCGCCGGGCTCGCCTACCGATGGCAATGCCAACAAGGTTCATCTGCAAAATAATAATAACAACAATTTCAATAACAACAATAACAACAACGTGTCGCATCATCCACATCCGTACTCGAAGCAACAGTCGACGAGAATGCAGCCGAGTAATGGAGAGAGTCAAAAGGAGAATAGGTGAGTTTATTATTAAAAATCGGTCATGTTTAATCGTAAATATTTCGTGATGGGCTGAATGAATTCCTCGGAGTTCCAACGCATTGAAGATATTTTTTCGAGCTTTAAAATGAGCTCAGACTCGTTGAAATCGCATCGTTTGTTCGGGAGATAACGACGATTGAAGAAGGTGAGGTCGTTTTATTCACCGAAATGTTGAGATTAAATTGACAATTTTAGATCGTTAATATCTCAAAACTGGCAGAGTGAAAATTCAACTTTTTTTTTTCATTTTAGAGAGACTGTTTCAAACTTCAAAATGAGATTTGACTCGTTCAAATCGCCTCGTTGAATCAGAAGATATCGACAATTACAGATGTAATGAAAAATTCCATCTACACTTTACAAATAATCAAATGAAGAATTTGTAATTCTATATTCTCGCAACTTCCGGTTGGTATTAAATTCCTGCGTCTGCGTATTCTCGTTATCACTCGGCTTTAGCAATATTCCTATTACACAGGAGATGCCAATGCAACTCGTATTTCTCACAGCTTACGCAGCGCTATTTTAAAAATAAAAAGAAATGAGAGACGTTGAAGAATAAAATACTCCACTGTTACCGTGAGAATAATCATAATACGGCATTCCATCACGTAGTAATGAAGACTTATTGTATTTGTATTAAAGCACTCGTTGGGTTATCGTTATCACATGCCAGATGGCCTATCTCTCATTGGCAAACACTGATGCAGACGTTTCAGCGATAAATACAGATAGATAACGAGATAATCACAGAATTTTCAATTTATCACGAGGGAAAGCAGACCGAAAAAACGAAAGGATTGTCAACTAAAAGTGCAGGCTAATAAAATATTCAATCCCATTTCGTCTCCCCCCCCTCCCCCGAACACTCCTAAAATAGCCCAAACTTTATATACAAGTAATTCTCCCTTTGCATACAGCCAGACGAAAAAAAATCCCTGGGAAAATCGTCCAAAATAGTGAAAATGCTGAATTCGTATTCAATGGATAGATCCAGGAAGAGATTTGCCGCAGTTGGTACAACCCATCTGAAGGTTTCACCCAAGAAATCTGACAAATCTGACGAATTCAAATGCATGAAGTGTTGGAGGGTGAAAAAAAAAATACTTTCACACGAGTCTTTTCAGCGCACACGTGTATTCCAACACTACTCGGCGAGGACTGTTGCGCATTTTTGTGTTCTGTTTCTGTTCCGTTCTGTTTTGTATCAATCCATGAATCGAAAAAAATACATCTGTGTGGGCATAACTATAAATGAGAGAAAGGGAATGGGAGGCATTCTTGTCATTTCTTGTACGAGTCACGTAGCACATGGTATTGTCACATGCCGAGGCCGTTTCAAAGCTCCAAATTGTATCGTCGTGCGCGTGCTGCATTTTGTATTGCATGTACGAAGGGACAAGCCCACACACAAATGCAACTGGCATAAACCTGTCTTCCCTCTCATTTCAAATGTTCGTATCCCCTCTGCCCGTTTCACCGCTGACTAGAACCCCTTTTACCGGATTGTAGTCGGCACTGTCATATTTTGCCTTTATGTATTGACGTTTTCTGTCGTTGTTATTATCTCGAATTCTTCTCTGAGGAAGAATTTCGGAGAGAGGAATATGAGGGAGGTGATTGTTGAGGATTTTATTGGCGATTCGAGGGGTTTTGGGAAAATTTGAGACGTGTTCTGGGTGCTTGGGGACTAAACCTCTTATTTCTTATATTATTACGTGTGATGAAGAGTCTAGGAAGTTGTCTTGAACGGAAAATGTCTTGCAGTCTTGATTTTTCTTTTGTTTTAATTTCCTTGCGACATCAATAACGTTTTCGTTTTTATTTTTTTCTCTCCTGTTTCACCCTCTCGCTCTTTCTCTCTCTCTCTCTCTCTCTCTCTCTCTCTCTCTCTAGCTTTCTAAATGAATTGACGAATCTTTTGAATGTTATGGCGAAATGATACGAAAGAATACGAAGGGGTTGAAAGGATGATCAATAAATGATGAAAAAAGATCTAGAAAATGATTGAAAAAATTCAAAAAAGGACATAGAGTATACAAAAAAGGATTAAAAAAAGGATAAAAATGTGATGTTAAAGGTACCTAAAACCCAGATGATACTGGGTAAAAGGTACACAGCAAAAACGAATATCTGAATTTCACACACCTTTTATAGACATTTTTCAGACACTAAAAACATACGAATAAAATGAAAATTTGTCTGAATTTCAAACATCAATTAAGATGTTTGGGCACCTGTTGATCTGAAATTCAGACACATCTTCATTTTATCCAGACATTTTTTAGTGTCTGAAAAATGTCTACAAAAGGTGTGTGAAATTCAGACATTCGCTTTTGCTGTGCACCCAGATAATTCCGAGTTCTACTGTAAACCTATCATTTAATCCCTCTCCATTCGATATTTCTTTTACTCCTCTCATAAAAAATATTCCTTCCACAAAACTTATCATTCACCACCGAACAATACCCCATGCAATACTCGATATACTTCAAGTCTCGTTTACCTACCCCGACATATCCCTCTCCTCCCCCGCCAACAGAAAAAAACTTGTTTCTACGACAATAGTGTACGAATAAGGGAAAAAGGTAAAACGAGAAAGGGGAATTCGAATCATCGACCAGCGCCAATCGAGTTTTGATTTCTTGCTGGATACCCAGACCTACCCGAGAGCAGTGGATTGTTATATAAGAGGAGGATGAGGTTTTCGTGGGCAGAGGGTAGATTGTAATGGAGATAGTATCGGAGAGCTTGTCTAACCCGATGGACTTTTTACCGTTCGGGTACTTCGGCTCGTGCCAAGAAATTTCTTCCCTGCCTGCTATTTTTCTTTACTCAGTTTTATTCTTTTTTCACTCGCTGTATCTCACTGATGTCACGTAACCTCGTGTTGTTGGAACACTGGCGTTTTTACAGATTGAGTCTTCTGCCTCGGGAGATTGGCTCATGTTGACAAATATTATTGGGCGATTTTTTTTCCATTATTTTTGTAAAATTGTATTTCAATTACTGATTGAAATATCTATGACTGATGTATGAATGTAATTCTACAAATCTACAGAATGTAAACTAGATCTACAAAGGAATATGCCACAATAACAACAACAAGTTTACCAGCCGTAAACTCTACCAATTGAGCCCATTTCAATGTTTTTTTCGAAGACTAATAGTAACTGCTGAATATGCGTGCGTGGGTAGATTTATTAACGCACGGTAGCATTGTGATCTACCAGTGATCTACCGATCAGCCAATCTACCAATTATTTGCATTCTCCAAAACAATGTTTAGAATAGAAAGTTTAGATGTGATTTATCCATGAATGTCTTTCTTAGAGCCCGGTAGATCTGGACACAGACTGGTAGAGTAGGTAAATTTTATTGGAGTCGGGGAGGTGTTAGTCAGTTTTATTTCGGTAGAGTCTGGTAGATTCCGGTAACGTCCGGTAGATCTGGGTAGAGCGTGGTAGATTTACGTAAGACAGATTTCGATAGTGTGTGGTAGATTTCTGTAGAGTAAGACTGGGGTCCGTAGACCCCAAGCTAGACTGGTATGGGCAGGTAAATTTTAGTAGAGCCACGTACATTTCGGTCGATCCAGATATTGTTCAGTAGAGCCAGGTAGATTTCGGTAGATCCAAATATTGTCCGGTAGATTTTGATAGAGTCCGATAGATTTTGGTAGAATTAGGTAGATCTCGGTAGAATTCGGTAGATTTCAATAAAGCCCGATAGATTTCGTTACATCTCTGCTAATATAATCGCCGGTAGACTTGTCATCCCCATCTCTACGTAGTATTTTCTTTTCCTGGTAGACTCGGAAATTCGGTAGATTTTTTACTGTCATTCTACCCCAATGCATTAAATTTACCATCTCTGTGACCGACCTAATCCATCTATCCATCCCACACGAAATGCATCAACTCCACGTGCCAATAATGACGTTCATCAGTCCAGCGAGAATTGGCACAGCTATTGGCTGTCACATAATTCTCCCCGAAAATTCTTAGAACCCAATCTGCGATACCTATGCATTGTCTTCGAATGAGTTGATCGTATATATACCACCAGCAACCGCCATTTCCCTCTCTCGTCCGGTACAGAACCTCCACTCCATTCCCCTCCCAGAATCCATTCGCATTAGCATGTTATTGGTACGTTGTTTACTCTGGGTTAATCACGACCAGCGGACCGAATACCCGTGAGTAACTGGCCTCTGGTTTATATACAAAGTCAAAGATCCAATGTTATTATCGTTATCCGTGTTATCAGGGTGAAAGTACTCGTGTAAAAGTACAAGTTAATTAACCGAATTTCTAGGGCTCTCAGAGTTATTTAAATTAGGCGAATCTATCCGAATGAAACCAATTTTTTTTTTAATAATGTTTTTTCATCCAAAATGGAAATTAAAAAGTTCGTCAGTCGACACTTCAATTTCCTCTTCAAAAAATTTTAGTTCAACTGTCGCTATATTCAGCTTTTTTTCCACACACAATCCCATCAAAAATCCCCAACTTTTTCCCGGTGACAATGGGATTCCGAAAATATGATTGGCTTCGTGATATTTGAATGGATGAATGCCAGCGAAAATCACCATTCGCTGAGAAAAAGCACAATTTTTAGTTCATCCATCGCAATTTTCTGAGTTTTTTCAAAGGATAATTTTGAAAAAACTCATCATAACATTTTTCAACATTAAATAACAAGCAGAGTCAACCCATTGGTTTCAAATTTTTAAATAAAAAAAAAGAATTAAATAAGAGCCAAATCTCAACTCTCGAAAATTCCTGCAAAAATCATCAGCCAGCTTCCCTAACTCAATCACTCCCCGGAACAATTAAATTACCTCGCAGAAAATTTTTTTTTTCACCACTTGGTAAATAAAAGGGCAAAATACCCAGTGTGCAGACACGTACCAATAAGCCCTCTTTTCCCTCTGTCGACGCGTATTTGTCCTCTTCTCCTCGTTTCACGTGGGA